TAGGTTAATTTTGTTGGTTAATTTTGTGCCCCCTACAATATTTTTTTCTGCGTCCGCCACTGTTTTAGGGACGAAATAAATGGATTGTTACATAAAAAATTACATGATTTGGTTGATGTTCATAAGTGAACTTATTGATAACTAAACTTGTTCATGTATATGTTCGTTTCACATAGTTTTCATACATGTACACATTTGTATTGGAATCATATATACACTTGGGATCACGTGAGATCAAATGTTTTTCGTGAGACCTATAAGACCAATTCTCAACCCTTGGATTAGATCTACAATATGACAATCTGAACATTCATAAACGTCACGAGACTTCTCAATAATCACAAAATTGTCACTGTACAACTTTAGACCATTAGATCATTAGCTTATAAAATTGATCAATGAACATAAATTGGTCTTACGGGTCTCACGAAAAACCCTTATTCTCACGTGAACCCAACCCTATATATATATATATATATATATATATATATATATATAGAAATGACACACAACATAACCTACCTCTTAGCTTGCCTTCTACATGAGCATCTTCTATCCTCCTCCTCCACCACCGCCAGCCCCGCCACGTAGCGCCGCTGCCGTTGCGGTGGCCATTCCATTATCAGCTGCCGGCACCCTGGTTTTCACGTAAAGATCCATTTGTCCAACCGTGGTTGGTCTTTTCCGGTGGTGGCCACCACCATCGCCGCCTCCTTTATAAAGGAGAGTGATCAAAACCGTAAGGGCTAGTACCAGGAAAATGAAGGCAATGATGATAATAGCAACAACTATCATTCTTCTGATCTTAATACGACTTATGATCTATCATGAATCAATTAACCTCAAAACAAGTGGTTGTGTGCGTTGACTTTTATTTTATATATATATATATATATATATATAAAAGAATTAGATGATGAAATAATGGCAGAGTATTTGTTGTCAATCAAGTGTGCATGAAATGTGAACAGATATCATGTTTATTTTTTAATTTTTTGTCCCATGTGATATATCATGTATATGTGAATCTATAGGTTGCTGCATTTCGTATTCATATTTCATGAATATTAGCTGATATATAAACGTAGGATCAAACGAGAAGATGGTCAATTTGCAAGAAAGTGAAAAGTTTCAAGATCATATATGATACAAACATGTTATGTTGACCGGCTTCAGGAGCGGGCAACCTTTCCCGCGACCCTTGGTCGTGTTAAACAAGTCTCTTGTGTCTTTTTAGACATGTTGTATCACATGTGATTTTAATCTGTAATTTCATGTGATTTTGAAATTTCTCTCCTCGCAAATCGACCATGCTTTTATACACATACACACACACACACACACACACATATATATATATAGAACAAATCAAATACAAACTGATTAATTAAGATATTTATGGAATGAATGTTTTTATTTATTATAATTTGAATATTTATGGAAGATAATTAGTGTTCATTAATTATGATCAACGATTTAAATTAGAAAAACAAGGTGAAGGATCATGTGAGAAGTTAAGTTATATGGTGAGAAGCGTAAGAAATGATCTGACCATTTGATCACTTTTAATCTCATGTCTACTAATGAATTGCGCTTTAGAAGAGAATTGATCTGCTGTATCTCGGTGCACCTCATTGGTGTTGACATTCAATTAAGATTTGATCCAAGGGTGGATATCTCTTCTTACGCTTCTCACCATAACTTTCTTTCTCACCGGAATCCAATCCTAAGAAACAATCGATATATTTATGTAACCAAATACTCGTTAGACTATATAGACGATTGAGATTGGTTTATATGGTTTATAAAACTTCGAATAATTGTATTTGATTTGTTCCTGTCTCTCTGCATGAGTTGACTTTTGAGGTCAAAATATCTTGCAATAAGAAAAGTACATGAAACCAGTTGACTTTTGGAAGGCAAACATCATGCATGCAAAATAATCAATCCTTCAAAGGGGAAACTACTAACCCCTGTGGTTCATATGGCTCCGTCCATGCACGCACCGCATCATATCAATTATGCATACATGTAATTAAGCTTACTAGTCCATAATATGGAGATTTTTAACAGATTTTTGTACTACAAAAATGAAGAGTATCAGTGAGGGAAAATTCCCTTGTTGAGCCGTTGCTAAAGGGTCTTCCGTCGTTGATAGTTTGTCAGTCAAAAGCTCGTAGGTAATGCTATCAGTGACGAAATTCATCAACAAATCAGTGAGGGAAACTTTCAGTGACGGATCAACAAGGGCAACTTTCAGCGAGGGATTTGGTTTTTAGCCATTTCCCTAGCTGATCAGCGAGGAAATTTTTCCGTCGCTAATTCTCGTCGTTGATACTTGGTTTTCTAGTAGTGTTGGGACTCGGGAGTTTGATAAAAATGGAGCATGGTTAGTTGTTTTGGAGCAGTTCTTTTTTGTTTTGGTTTTGTTTTACAAGTTCGATTAAATTTTGGTATTGCATTTTATTTCACTATGTTGTATATGTCTATTGGAACTTTGTAATATATTCTATGGACTATCAAATTTTGGATTTGTTTAACTTTTTGTTATAAGCATTGTGATGCAATTGATTGTGTATTTCAATAAACATTAGGTACAGGCTGCAATGCATAGTGTTTTTGCAGTGTAGTTTGAAAAGAAAGCTTAAACCGCAGTTATAATTGTGGTGTGGTTTTTGAGGCTTGAATTATCTGAATTATATGTATTATCAGTTTAACCTGGTTTGAACAAGTGTCGAATGCAAAATAATTGTTTGTGCAATATAGTTCCGTTTTCATTACATTGAAACATAGGCTTTTGTATACGATACATCAATCTGTTAAAATTTCTACATCTCATAATATTATTTCTCTCAACTTAATTAGTCAGGTAAAAAAGAGTTACATATTGACTTACAAAAGGGTCGATGCATCTACAAGTACTTGAGGCCATCGAACTAGTCACACGAATGGATGCCCGATATGGTCCTACAAGATAACGTTCACGAAACACGATACTTAAATGGTCCTCAGTAAAATGAATTTATATGAGTTATTACTATTTTTTAACTTAAATGTTATTTCTGATGATAAAAACGATATATTTATGGATTTTTTACACCTCGCCCGTGGTTTATAAACTATCAGGAACGGATCTGATGATGAAATCTTCGGAACATTGTTTATTGTGCGGGATCTTTCACTCTGGATGCAAGAATTAAAACGTTGATACCCTATCAACTTCAACCTTTTCGATTAGATTCATGAAACTTTCATATTTTTAGTCTTAGGGGCCGTTTACGAAACGCTTATTCGGGTAAGCGTTTACCAAGTCACATTATTTAACCGGATGAATATGGTAGGGACCAAGAATCTTACCCGGTAAAAACAAGACGAGAACCAAGAGTTTTACTAGTTAAATGAGAGCGACGACTCTTACCACGATAAGTAAGATAAATTTGGTGAACCAATTGTTGCATGTGATGTCATTTTGGTGAATGAAAATCTTATCCGATAAGTGAATAATAATATTAAATTTTACTGGTAAGCACTTATCGGATAAGTATTTGGTAAACAGCCCCTTAACTTTTTAAAAAATGTTCTCATTTTATTTGAAATAATTAGACGAAATGCGGGTTTTTTTCATTTATTTTAATTTTTAATATTTTTTTAAACATAATATAAACGGAAAAAAGTTTGTTAGATGACTTCCAACAGCTTTTCTTATCTTCTTTTCGAAATACAAAAATGAAACCGAAAAATAAAAAAAATAAAAAATCGAAAATAGTAACATAAACTATATCATCAATATTCAATTAATTTGATATCTACCAAAACTTTGAGTAAATTATATTTTTCATCCCTATAGTTTATTTAAAATTACAATTTTCGTCCTTACAATTTAGATTTATTGCTATTCTTTGAACTAATTTTTTTAAGTACAAGGGACTAAAATAGTACAGAATTATAAATCACAAGAACTAAAACAACAATAAATCTATACTACCTTATAAACTAAATTTATCAAAAGTTTTTAAAAACAATTTTTAATGCACAAAGTACTATACATTTATGCACAAAATATTAAAAGTCTTAAAAACAACTCATAATGTATTAAGTACTACTACTTTATGCATTCAACCATAAAATCTCTTAATTTACAATTAAAATAACATATAGTGCAAGTTACCAATGCACATTATTACCTTTTATTTTCATGTTTCCAATATATTTTTGACATCTTTCATTCATGCATTCACCCTCTCATACCTTTATGTCTTCTCCTCATCCCCCAATGTGAGATTGAAACTAATATTCACCATTAGTTGTTAAAAGTTCTCTCATTCATCTTCCATTCAATTCCTCTAGAACTTTCGGTCTCGCCCTCGATCTCTTGATTCTTTGCTCTTGGTGTAAATCGAACACATTTGTCGAGTCGTTTAAATATGTTGGATTTTAAATATATTGGATTTTATACTATCATACAATTTTTTTTATTAATAGACTGTAATTGGAACCATAACTCTTATTTATTCAAATTGTATTAATATGTAAAGACCAAGTGTAACTGATATCATCGTTAAATATTTTCTAATAAAACCAATGAAACTTTAAAATCGTTAAAATTCACGGCTCCCGCTGTATTACGCGGGTACACAACTAGTTATAAATCATAAGGACGAAAATAACAATGATTTATTATTTAAACACAAGAACGAAAATCGTAACTTTGAATAAACCATAGGGATGAAAAATGTAATTTTTAACATATGATTTTTTATTGTAATCTTTTCCAAAAAAAAAAGTAATAATCAAAATCTAATATAAAGATTTCCTTATTATCTTTTAAAAAAAATTAATTATTTTTATTATTTTTATTTTAAAAAATTATTGTAAAGATTTAGTTTTAAAAAACTCTAAAATCTCAATTATCCGAATTCTATTCTGTAACGATGATGAATCAGGGGATTCCGTTTGATCCACCAACTACCGGAGAACTCGATTCGTAATCCCTTTGCCGGTGCCCGGTGCGATTAACTCGATGAGAATCCCGATTCAACCTCCCCCTGAATCCCAATCCAACATCGAGAACAACCTTCTCGTACCTCTCAACCCCACCACCATGGATCACCCACCAAAATCCTACTGGCGATTCAGCAAACATGACTTCTATCCCGAACCCTCTTTCCAAAACTTCTCCGCCTACAAGTCGGCATTCTCCCAAACCCTCCACCGTCTCCACGATCGCTGCCTCGGCCGATCCACCGATGTCAACGAACTCATTGAACTCAAAAAACAAAGCGAAAACGAGATGCAAAAGTGTCTCACTTGGGTTGATCTAATCTGGCTTGGATTCGGCTCCGTTGTCGGCTCCGGCATCTTCACCATCACCGGTCTCGAAGCCCGAAACGACGCCGGACCATCGATCGTCTTATCTTACGCTCTATCCGGCTTATCCGCCCTCTTCTCGGTTTTTTGCTACACAGAGTTCGCCGTTGAAATTCCTATCGCCGGCGGTTCGTTCTCGTTTCTCCGTGTCGAATTGGGCGATTTCATCGCCTTCATTGCCGCTGGTAATCACTCTACATCAAAATTTCCGTTTGATTTCATACAGTAATCACTAAACATCAAACTAATTTTTCCGATTTGGATGTTGAATTAATCAATTTGATGTCGGTTTCAAGGTAACATTCTATTGGAGGCTGTTGCCGGTGCGGCCGGCTTAGCTCGATCTTTTTCATCATACTTTGCGAGTATGTTCAGTTCTAATCCAGATTTTCTTCGGATTCGGATCGATTCATTTGCAGAAGGTTTCAATCTATTAGACCCTATTGCTGTTATAATCTTATTTATAGCAAACATGGTAGCCATGAAAGGAACTAAACTGACATCAGTTTCGAATATGATTCTTTCGATGATTAGTTCTTTGATCATCGTTTTCATAATCATCGTTGGGTTTGTGCACGCCAAGCGTTCGAATTTAGAACCATTCTTCCCATATGGACCCGAAGGTGTGTTTCGAGCTGCTGCTGTTGTTTACTGGTCGTATACTGGTTTCGATATGGTTGCTAATATGGCCGAAGAGACTAAAAAACCGGCTAGAGACATACCTTTGGGTTTAGTCGGTTCGATGTCCATGATCAGTGTGGTCTACTGTTTGATGGCATTGGCTCTTACGATGATGGTGAAGTACACCGAGATAGATCGAGATGCAGCCTATTCGGTTGCATTTGAGAAAATCGGGATGAAATGGGCTAAATATGTGGTGAGCTTGTGTGCTCTAAAGGGTATGCTTACGAGTATGCTAATCGGGTCAATGGGTCAAGCTCGATACACGACTCAAATAGCCCGAGCCCACATGATCCCACCCTGGTTTGCTTTAGTCCATCCCAAAACCGGAACCCCAATTTACGCCACTCTTTTGGTCACCACAATCAGCTGCATCGTTGCTCTTTTCTCGAGCTTGGACGTTTTATCGAGCGTGTTATCGTTTAGTACTCTCTTTATATTCATGCTCATGGCTATTGCGTTACTCGTGAGACGCTATTACGTGAAGGAGACCACATCTTCACGCGATTTAGCCAAGTTTATGGCTTGTTTATTGGTCACAATTGGTTCGTCTATTGGAATAACGGCACTTTGGGGTGTGAACCGGAAAGGGTGGGTCGGGTATGCGGTGTGTGGTGGGTTGTGGTTCACGGGTGTTACAGGAATGACAGTGGCTCGAAAGCAGAGGGTTCCGAAGGTTTGGGGGGTTCCGCTGGTTCCGTGGTTGCCTGCGCTATCGATTCTGATGAATGTGTTTCTGATAGGGTCATTGGGTGGGATAGCGTTCAAGAGGTTCTTTATATGCAGTGGTGTGATGCTGGTTTACTATCTTCTTGTTGGGGTTCATGCAACTTATGATTTGGCTCATCAAGATCCTTCGGAATCGACTATCGAAAAAGGAAAGGAGAATATAGACGGAGAGAGGTTGTAGCGAACATGGTTCGATTCATTTGTTGTCGGTAAATACGTGAACAGTTTGGCAAATTTGATGATATTTTGTTTGGATTCTGATTGCAAAAACTTTTTATGTACATTTTTTCACCCGTTAAGGTGTTTACTGAAACAGTTATGCTATTTTTTGGGTAGATGACAGGTCTGTATATAACGAGTTTGGTTCAGTTTTTAGGTCAAAACAAATTAAAGAACATAATTGTATAGTTTTTTCGTTTTAAACCCGCAGCTATTGGTTTGGATTTGGAGTTGGTTAGGCCCAAAGAAAACCGACACTGTTTGATTATTGGTTTTAGTTTGTATGTTAAATGACGCACACTAAGGATATGTTTAGTATTGGCTTAATGGGTTGTATAGTCAATATAGCTTATTCGGTTTAGTCATAACTAGTTGTTCAGTTGTGGCTTAATATGAAAAATAAGAGCTTATTCGGTAAGCTTGAGGAGGGTGCTTGTTTTTATTTGGACCAAATTATTTATCAACATACCTTTTTCTTAAAAGCATGTCTCGAGCCTCAAACAAATGAAAACCCTCGTTCGGCGCTCTTTCCTCCTTCCTCTGGTGTCGTCCTTGTTTCCTCCGCATGAATTCTACTTTTTAAATTAAAATTTAGTTGATTTTTTGTTATTAGCTAATAAAAATCCTACATTTTGGAAAAAATTACCAACCATATGAGACGGTCAACTTATATCTATATTTATGATTTCAAAAGTACTTTTGTTTTTTTTTTCTCCAATACATTGTTGATTCCTTGTTACATACTATTTAGTGTATTGATCTTAAGTACTCTCTAATCTCTAAAACAAGAATAAGCTCTTGAACTATAACCAATATAGACTTTTGATTCTAAGATTGATGGCTTCGAAAAAGATTGTTTTTACCTGATGAAAAACATTAAGATGAGGTGAGATGAAAACTCAACTGATTTATATTGATTTATATAGAATATTACTCTCTGAATGGTCAACATTGTAACCCCTTAATGATGTCAATCTATATAGTAAAGATATATTATACGTTGTTTTTCTATGGTGGAACCAATTGACAAAGCTATGTAAAAATGATAGAATGGATAACATAATTTATAAACAATTGTTGATTGATTTTATGCCTAGAAATACTCGAAACATGATTTTATATGAATTATTAATATTTTTTAAAATCAATTTTATTTTTAATAACAAAAACAATATATTGAAGAAAACATTCATCAACTTATTATAAGTCAGAAGGGTTTAACTTTTTTAAAAACTCATTGTTACCGATTTGGTATCGGTATAAATTATTTATCTAAACACTCGATGCTTTTTATCGGTGCTAACTATAATAAGTCAATAAATTGTTTTTATAAGAAAAAAAAAAAAAAAAATTGATAGCCGGCACCTATCCAATATGCAACACCGAACCTCCCAAAGATCCATTGATTCTCGATCGGATGATGACAATACCGAAACTTGATCAGGCCTCAATCGTTCTTATAAAGAAAAAGTACGAATCCAGCCTTTGAATTCCATTCAACGGTACAGAATGCCAGGCAGAGAAAACTCCCAAGATTCAGAGTCACGGAGGATTTCTGTGTAAGTCAAATTCGTATAAACCCTACTTTCTCTGTTTTAGTTTCATTTCAATTTTCTGATGTTCGCTTGTTTTACGTCTGTGTTTTATAATGAAAGATGTTTCTTTTGGTATACGGATGCAAGTTCCACCTAATTTAGGCCTAGTTTTATGCGATACAAGTGTTTGATTATAGCCCCTTTTACAACTTCATAATTACTCCTGGGCGATGAACTAGTTTTATGGAATCAATACTGGACTCTAGTTTTGGAAGGGATGGAGTGTTTCGGGGTTTTGTTGTGGAAATTTGATACGCGTGAGGGGATTCTGTTTATCTTGTCGGGTTCAATTTCGTTTTTCCAAATGATAACTTAGCGACATGTGATGGACTATTCATTAAATTGATGCATGTTTGGGAACTTTGATTTCATCGCTTGGAAATAGAATTGGATCATGATTAGTTCAAGTTCGAACGTAATGAACTTGATTCTGATTTCATATCTTGACGTTCAATGCTCCAAACACCAATTCACGCAATTGATTTCTGAGGAATTAGGGTTCGTTATGTGGTTTGAGATCTTATGTTGGGAATATTTCCTCTGTATAGCAGTTAGGGTCTGTTTGTTATGAGCTTAATGAGCTTAATGGGACTCATAGCTTATTCGGTGATCCGTTCGAAGATTTCGAACACGTCGTCTTTGAATGGATGCTCAAACAAAAGATTCAAATCAAAAGAACTCGATAAGGAAACAGAAAGTACCTTGGAGGCCCCCTTTTTTACTCTCTTCCATTCACTTCTTATATAACAAAGAGAAATGGAAGGCTTCCTCATTGTTTTGGACGTGGGTAGTTCCTCTCATACACATGCATGGCAACACTTCCCCACTTCCAAGTTTTTCTCCCCTCTTTCTTTTGGAGGACGTGGCTTTTTTTTATAACAGGTTTTGACCTCACGATCGTCCCAGATCATTCAGTCAACTATACATGACTGATTGGTAGTGGCTTAATGGTACTGAAAGTGGCTTATTTGATAAGCTTATAGGTGGAGCTTTATGCAGAAAGTAAAAAAAAAAAATCCAAACCTCCCCTCCCAATTAAAAAACACGCTCCTTCCATCTTGAAAGAACCCTCCCAAACGAAAACCTCCCAATCTATATAAACAAATTAATCCATATAGGACTTAATGGAAAACCAACCAAACAGCCCCTTAGACGCAAAAGGCACTAATCCCATGTTAATCTTCTCTCACCTCTACTGTGGAGTGCTTGTTAAGATAAATTACTCTTGCTGATTTCCCCATGCCTATTTATGGTCTACATGTGAGTTGTTGTTTACACATATTTGACTGTAATATACAAGGAAAAATATACAAAGCATTTGTTGTGTTCAATGGTTCATTAATTTTTTAGACATTTGAACACCCATATGAACATGAGGATAGAAACCGTGATTTTTTTGTGGGGGGGAGCCCGGAGGAGATGGGGCAGGCCGAGGAGGACGTGGGGTGAGCAACTGACGATAGACATGGAAGCCTTAGGCATTTTCGAGGACATGAACTTTGATATGATGTGTGACCTGTAGGATATAGCTAGGCTAAGCAGAGGAGGAAGGGTCCTCGAGAGGTAGTGGGTGGGGGTAACTGGTAAGGTAGGGAGCCTGGAGATAGGCGACCAGAGCCCTAATGGGCTCGTTGTCTTACACTAATTATCTTCCTTTGTACCTGCTTATGTTTCTTTTGTGCGACTTACTTTTCCCTTCCCGTGGTTTCCTTCTCTTAATTTGTTGCTAGCCTTAATCTTCGTTCTTTTTCTTTCTTTCTTCTCCCTTTTTTCTATTTGTTCAGCCTTGTCGGGCTAGTTTCTTTTTTGGCGCACACTTTTTGCATGCAAGGGATCTTCAGGGAAACAACCGCTCTACTCTCCGGGGTAGAGGTCAGGTCTGCATGCATCTCACTCCTCCTGGACCCCACCTCCGAGGGGGATATACCGGGCTCTTTTGGTTTGTTTTAGTTTAACACCCATATGAAATTTATGTCTTCGCCTGTTTGCCATGTCTTAGGCTTTTGTTCTTTTACAGCTGTTGAAATATTAGAAATGAAAATTTCCTTTTTTTGATAAAGTTTAATACTTGTGACTTGGATGTCTTGTTTCTCGAGTCCTTTATGAGGATGAATCCAGAAAGTTCGAAGTTTTTAAAGAGCACACAGTTTCTTTCTACCTTGATCAACCAAAATTCATGTTACTCCCTGCATCACACCTTTTCAAACTGGGATCTGATTTTGTATAATGTGGTAAGCCAGCCTTGCAACTAATGACTCTGCAGTTCTGGATTTTGTTCAAACTTGATGGAAATTTGGATTCTTTCACCAGATAACATACATCTGCACGATGGGCATAATATTACTTTTTTTTTCCTCAGGTAAATTGTCACACCGAATGTGACCACATGATCTACAATTTATAGTGAGAACTAGGCAAGTAGACACTGTTGGTCTTGAAGAAAGCGTGAAATTCGGGATCACTCATCTCTTTTCTTCCTGTTTTATACTTCCTATTCTTTTTGGACGATGACTGGTGTTTAAACGATGGTTTGTGTTTCGGGCCCTTGTGTTGATTAGGTCTAGATTATTGGACTTTACTAGGATGCATACATGAAATTGCTTATTTACATTGTTGTGAGGAAGGTGATGTTATTGTTTTTGATTATTTTTTTGCTTAGGGAATATGCCGCGTCATGATGATCGCCATGGTACTACACGTCTTCGTGTTGGCCATTTGGCTTCACGAACCAGATCACATGACCTGGAGGACGTATTTAGCAGATACGGAAGGTAAACAGTTCTAGTGGTAGTTTACTCTGTGCACCTTACTGTAGATACCGACATGATAACTTCATATATTGCCAATTTGGCATGAAATTTGTTCATGTTGGTCCTTAAGAAATCTACTGTATAGATATTTTTTGTTTTCGTTTTCTCATCTTGTTTTTGTGATCCTAATCTTGTGGATATGAATGTATACTTGTTTATGATGTCATACGCATACACCCACGTATGTTTGCCGTGTCCCCATCATGGCATGCTAGGTTGGAAATATTACTGCTGCTGTTGTAGTAGCTTATTTTATTTTCTGGGTATTACTTCATCAAGGTGTGTAGAATTAAGACATTGCCAAGCCACATTGTTGGCTTGAGTTTATGTTTCGTTGTTTCAAAAACTACCCCTGCCAAGTGTCAAATAAATTTAACTTGATGATCTTTCTGAAGGCTCATGGGTTTAACCCAACCTGGAGGTATATGGTGAGACTTGAGAGGTTGCCCTTGATCGAATGAGTCGCTATTCATGCAGCGTTTATAGGAGACTGGCGATTCTTTCTGTAATGTTTTTGCGTATTTTTTGATGTAAATGGCAACAATCTCAAAGTGGTGTTTAGTTCATCTTTGAGGGGCAAAGTATCAACCCTTCGGTACTTAATCTCGTGATGGCGTTACTATTTTTGGCGATGTTTACGCAGAATACATGATGTGGATATGAAGCGTGGCATTGCCTTCGTGGTATGTACTTACTAATTTTAATTACTGTTCCCTGTCGTGCTTTGGGATTGTTGCTTTTGCAGGGAATATTGTTCTTTTTCCATTTCATGTGTATTCTATTGTAGGTATGACCTTTGCTTTCCTGCTTTTCTCTTCATTTGTCTGCCTATAGGAATTCAGCGACCCACAAGATGCTGATGATGCACGGCATCGCTTGAATGGTTGTGACGTGGATGGAAGTCGTATTGTGGTGGAACTCGCAAAGGGGGTATGATCTTCTAATTGTTTGGTGCTTGGTTCTTTGTGTTATTTTTTTCTATATATGCGTGTGTGTATAGAATGTGCAGGGCCTATTTCTCAACACTCTACTTTTGTTGTATGTCAGATGGCTTACAAATAATATATGTCTGTTTCCTGTTCCTTTTGGAGTAAATGAGGATCTGGATTTGTATGTTTGACCATTTAGGTATGCTTATTACCATTTGTTGTGCTTAGAGGGTACTTTGACTTGTGAGGAAGAGGTGGTGGTGGTGCCTCAGGTGGCTCTCGTGAATTTATGGGCAGAGATCCTCCTCCAGCGTCAGGTTGTTGCTTTAATTGTGGGCTCGAGATTGCAAAGCTGGCGACTGGAAGAACAAATGCTATCATATCATTGTGGTTTGAGGGGTTAAACCGCCCAAACCGGACCGCGAACACCTCTAGCAGCTACATGTTCTTTTTTACATTCTTGGTCCCTCAACTTTTAGGGTGCCTTTGATACATCGAACAGAACAAATCATAATAGAGATCACTGTTCCATGTTTTGCAGTATTTTTATGTGGAACATATATGAACAAAGTGGAACAAACGTGTCCCCACTCCATGGAACAAGCCTATATTTTACCAAACGTCTCACTCTTTACATTCTATCCATTCTTTAAGTTTTATATATTGTATTTTATCCTTTTTGAACATTTAAATTACTGTTTCTTAAAATATTATTTTTCTTATTTTATGTAATAATATAGATAAGGTATAAAATAAAAATTCAAAATTAATGAACTTCATGTTTTTGTGTCATTTTAATCGTCTTGAATAGTATGTTTTGTTATAAAAATATTTAATTTAAGAAATTGCATAAAGTAATCAAAATATATAATATTATATAAACAATTCATTGAGGGTAAATTGGTCATTTTATCAGTTATGTTGTGTCTTATTAAACGCTAAACAATTGTTACGTCTTGTTTGGGTACCAAATGCACCCTTATTGTTTCCGATGAGAACAAAAAAAATTATATCTTGTACACTCTAAAGGATTACTTGTTCTATAGATCTCCTGATTTACTCGGAGACATGTCATTTGAAGTTTCTTAAATTATTATTTTTCTAATTCGCTTTTCTTTTGGTTCTTGGTTTTATACGTGTCCAGCCGATCTTGGTCACCTGCAAAATGGGAGCGGAACACCGATGGGAAAAAACAGAGTCCTAGGAGGCACGGTGCTTCACCACCACCATCACCACCAACCAGAGGGGTTGCCCGTCACCGTCAAGTAATTTTATCTTATGGGAGTTCTGTTAGAGCTCGATACTTTAAATGATAGACTTTTGATCCGTTTTCGGTTATGACACACCTCATCTTAAGTCTCGTAGGATGGGGATGTTAAATGCAAAGGAATATAGTTGAATCCATTTTGAAAACTTGGGGCTAATGCCTAATTTGGTTGTTCTACCACAAAAAATACATGGTCCTGAATCGCAACCTTCTAAGTTCCTAAAGTTTGGTATAATAGGATGGTGAACCGGATAAGAGAATGGAAGTGGATAAGTTATTTGTCTCGTGTTTATATGAGTAGGATTGGATATGACAAGGCTAGACAAACTGCTCCTACATCTTGTTTAATAAATTTTCACACACATAAAAACATACGTATCTCTTACCGTGTGGTCAAAAGTACCTAGAGGTTTCAGGTTCGAATCCAATGAGGAATAAAAATTCTCGTGTGGTCACGAATATTCAAATACGGTGATTTCGAACTATCCGTAAAGCTAGTGATCGTCCCAAAAACAATCAGCTCGCATAATAAGTTGGATATACATGTTAATAAAAAAAAATAGCAACCTATGTGCAAAAGTTGCATTATACATGATGGAACAATATTGTCCAATTCCAATGTACCAAACACAAGATTGAGATGACCATCCAGAATGGTTGTTTCCTTTTTCAGGTTCATCAAAAGGTTCTGACAGACAACACCATAACGATTGACTTTTCTCGATTAGCGTAGCTTTGACTGTTTGACTCTTTTTTTTTTTTGTAAATTTATTATATTTTTATTTTAATAAGTTTAAATATATTCATGTAAGTAAATCTAAATAAGTGTCAATTAATAATTAATCATAAACAATGATATTTTATTAATTTTGGTCATTTATTTTCATAAGTTTAACTTTTTATATAAGTACATGATTTTATTATTAAGGAACCAAACTATTGTTGGTCTACTGGTATTGTAGTTTCTAGTCTTTTAGAAGGTTAGAGTTCAAACCTCATTGAATTTGAGGAGGTTGTGTGAGTTTATTTGTTGTATTTACCGTATATAAATATTATATACTTAAAAAAATAAGTCATTTATTAAGGATCGGTGTCTTTGGGGTTTAAACCGGGTTTTTCAAGAAGCTATCGTTGTTGTTGTAGATGATTGTCTAAGTCACAATTTATTATGTTTAAAGCTCATGTTCTCATCTTGTTTCTTGTGCTTCTGTTAAGTGCGATAAATAAGGGGTTGTTTGTCTACCTCTTAATAGTTCTATTAAAATATAGTCTCTGAATCATTATGAGGTGAATGTTGTTTGAAGAAAAAAGGTCTATCTCTTAATGATTCTAAAACCCTCTGAATGATTTTGTATAATGGGCATCTCTTAATCATTGAACGTCCTAATTTTATTGTAAACAATTACCAAACAATTATATTTCATTTTACACTATATCACGAGACCCTCTTAATCATTCTGACCACTTAATAATTTTGCACCAAATCATTCAACAACTGCCAAACAATCCCTAAGTTTACTGTATTATGTTTTCATAAATTGTAAAATGTATAAATAGAAATTAATATGAAAAATGATTTTTTATTTAATATTTTATTAATAAATGAATATATACACACAAGTAAATGGATTATTAAAACTGAATAATTATTACCATGAAATAAAATTGATATTTAAGTAATAAAATTGATTTATGTAAAAAATAATATGAAATTGGTGGTAAAAAGTATGTGGAACCTATAAAATAGTTGTAAACATTTTTTTACGGTGGAGTTTGACTAAGGGTCTGTTTGTTTTTTCAAAATTGACTTTTAATACATTTAAAGATTGATCCGTTCAGAGTTTGAGTATTAAGAGCGTTTGTTTTTTTCTTTTCTTTAAATAAGAGCTTAAAAGCTATAAATATCATCTGAAATTTTAAGTAATAAACGTATTACTTAATACCTCTTAATCCTAATCCGTCCTCTATCAAATGGTTCATATTTTGGGGGCTAGAAGAAATTTATTAGCAAAAATTATTTATTTTTTATACTTTTTCGAAAACTATTTATCTTTTATATTTTTACACTAGTTTGACCAATTCAGATTTCAGACTTCAGACGTGAAACAAACGGTTTTACTGATGTAGATTTCAAACTTCAACACCACCTCTTATAAATTAGAAGTAAAATCGACATTTTATTACATGTAAATAAAGTACAGAATGATGAAAATCAAGGTGTGTCGTTCACGATACATAAAATATTCAGCCAGAGCTGCTCTTGTATAAGGAGCGAGGTATTGTAAGTAGCAGGGGAATCCGCCGTTTCGGCTACCACAATAGCATATTCCATCACGCCCCTTTCCTGAAAAGTAATTAATCAGCTACCCGAGTCGCTACTTGAGCCACAAATCACAAATAGTAAACTAAAAACAAAATTCTTTCGATGATGAAGTGAATCAAATACAACGTACAAATTGCAAAGCGAAAACATATCATATATGATTTTAAATTAAAATTTTAAATTCTGATTTTCAAACATATCAATTACGATTCTATGCTTTGTAAACCTTGATATCTCCATCAAACGGAGTAGGTATAGAGGGAGTAGCGAATACGAGGAGGAAGATAGCAGCGGTTATGATAGAGGGTAGGGGTGCTCAAAAACCCGACCAACCCGATTAACTCGATCAACCCAACCCAATCCAACGCCAAATAACTCAACTGGAAGTAACCCGATGTCTAATCAAGTTGTAAAATTTTTAAACCGTAGGTAATGGGGTTGATATTGGGTTACTATTATTTTAACTCAACCCAACCCGATAAACCCGATATCCTTTTATTTCTTAGATTTAATACGATTGTTGAATTTCTATTAGTATATAAATTAGACAATTACATTATCACGTACGCTCTTCATATGCACGTATTTTTAATCTATTCACATCTCTATATAACTCATTCGTATATATGTTTAGTAACTGTGAACATATATATGTAAATTGAGAAAAATTAACTGAATGTGATATACATAAGAAATATGAATAAGTTGTATCAAATGGTTGATGATGAAAAAGAAATTATTAGTAGAAAAATAACATATTCAAGGTCAGAAAAATATTTTTAATGTACCAAAGTACCAACCCGACCAACCCGTACGGTTTGGGTTGGGTTGGGTTAAGATTTTTCAAACCACAAGCATTGGGTTGGGTTGTTTAAATGTCTTCAACCCGATCAACCCAACTCATGAGCACCTCTAATAAAGGGTGTGACAACGTGGTTAAGCAACAAGGAAGGGGCGAGGCCGAGCAGAAGTGGGGAGAGGCAAGGTCGAGCAACAGGGAGAAGGCCTAATTAGGTAGAAAAAAAGGATAACATGGTTATGTCTAAATCCATAAAGCCAAATTGAATGATAGCTTCAACCGTCCGTCGACCATTGGCTCAACTAGTCCCGAATAAAATACGTTCACAGAATATTTGGAGGTATTCAATTATGTCGCAAACCTAATTAGATATAAAATGTTTGATAAATATTATCATTTAACGATGCATAAGATAATCATATTCAGCGTAGCTGATAATCTACTTTTAATATTTAATATTACAATGCTCGCTTTTAAAACATACATTCAAAAATTCCCGCTTTACCTGATATTATCTGATATTATAACATCTAAATACCCATATATGTCGGTATTCGACATCATCATAAATTTGTAACGATGTAATGTCTTTCCATAAGGGTCCATCCCTGTTTCATTCCATAAGGTCCATCCCCAATAAACACAACCAACTTGTATGGGAAGTATTTTGAGATCTAGATCTTTGACAACAAATGTATAACGCGTTTTTCAAGATAATTGAATGTCATTCCAATTCTATCGGATTCCAGTAGATAGAATGTCACATAAATATGATCGGTCTGCTGCAACTCAATGGTCAATTACCAAATACCATGTAATAAAGCATTCTTTAAGATTTTATCGTGTTCATCGTGTAAAGCTGGCTACTAAAAAGCTTGTGTAGTACAATTCTGTTGAGTGGTACATACCATCTAGAACCAGTGTACACGCATCTGCTCTCCTTTTCAAGGATGTTTGTACGTGACTGTCTTGAATTTTGTGTCTTTAAACATGTTGAAATCAATGTGTTGTCCTATCTGATGCTTATTTTATGTACTAAAACGTTCATTTTCTTACAGATAAAAATCCCCCATCTGTATTAAATAGCTCGAGGTAAACATTATCAAGATATACTAAAAATATAACGTAAAACGGATTCTCATTGATTATATAAAAATATTAAGTTCTCAATATGAACAAAATATTAAGACGATATGTGTTCTCATTTCCATAAAATGAAGCCTAAGGCAAAGCCAAAATTTATATTTAGCATGGTCCAGAGATCGAGAATATATAAAATTGAGATTAGGCAATGACAAGTAACGTTGGCTTATCGATTAAGACATTTTTGGGATGTATTGATTTTTCTCAAACATTAAGAGTGGACAAGATCGAGGCCGGCTCCACAGAAATCACTGTGAACAAAATTAAGACAACCCATACTAGCTTTTAAGTTCATACTACAACTAGCTCATAAATTTTAAATGCGGAAGTTCGCCTATATTTATGACTGGGTTCTCTATTAGATTTTTCGTTCTCTAATTCTTTTTGTCCATTCATATATATATATATATATATATATATATATATATATATGTATGTATGTATGTATGTATGTATGTATGTATGTATGTATGTATGTATGAATGATTGGATTCTCTCTTAGCTTTCATTTTCATGTTCTTCATCGGGTAAAGCTCTATGTGGTACAAATCTCTTATGTTGTACGATACCATGTGGAATTAGTGTACACACATTTCCTCTTTTTTTCAAGGGGTTTTTTTTGTACGTGGTTTTCTTGAAACTTGCAGCGTGATTGAAATCAATGTGGTGGGGTGTGAATATCAGTTTTAACTAAATTTGGTAGTTTCAGGTAAACTATTGACCTGATACGGCAAAATTGACATATCACCCTAAAAGTTATTCTTTTTGGATGGGTGAAGATTGATTTTAACGTACCATCTGTTCACGTTTTTCTATTTTATGTTCCTTTTTCTTGCAGATAAAGACCCTTCATTTGTATCAAATAGCTTAAGGTGAACATTAGTCATTATATATCAGAAATATAGTACAGTCATTATGCAGGTCATTAATAATCAAGAAGTATCCGTGATAATAATATTAATTTTTAGTATCAACGAAATAACAGTTATACAATACACATTTTTGTTTCTCAACATTCTCGTTTCCGTAAGTTGAAACCAGACCATGACCAAAATTTATATTCAACATGCTCGGAAGACTCGAGGATGTATCATATTTAGATTAGTCGATGACATATTAGATTGAAATACCGATCAAGGCCCTGTCTAATACACACTTACAGCTTCTTACTAAACAAGTGATGTTGACCCAATAAGAATAATTTTTCTTACCCACACACTCTGACCCACAAATGTCACTAAGGGGTTGTTTGTTTACCTTAATAGTTCTATTAAGAGGCAACATCTGAATCGTTAAGAGGTGAATCTTGTTTGGTAAAAAAAAATCTCTCTCTTAATTGTTCTAAAACCCCCTGAACGATTTTGTATCCTAGGTCTCCTTTAACCATTCAACGCCCTAAATTCATTGTAAACAATTACCAAACAATTATATTTCATTTTGCACTTTATCATGAGATCCTCTTAATCATTCTGACCACTTAATCATTTTGCACCAAATCATTCAGCTACTGCCAAACAGCCTCTAAGCGAGATATTGTCCTTGTAAAAATCAAGAGCCTCACGTATTCAATTAGCACTTGCTCGGTAATTATTTACATAATTTATGATGATAAACCATTCTAAGGATCCGTTAACCAAACGCTAATTGTTGAAGCGCTTACATACCACTTACTTATCGAATGAGTATGATAAGGATAGAGAACCTGAATGACAAATATCGAAAATCTTACCCGATAAGCAAATATGATTACTCTTATCCAATTAACGCTTACCGAACAAAATTCATTTATCAACAATTTTATCATATCATTCTTACGACCGAAAATGTTATATAGTAAAATTGACGATTTTTATCTGATAAATGATTACCTGGTTAACGTCGGTAAAGTGGACCTGGCTTGCTAGACCAAGGCCGGCTCCACCCGCCACATGGAGCGAAATGGGTTTCGAAGCCACTGTGAGCAGAATTTAAGGAAACCCATAACTTGTTTTTTTTATTATTAAAAAAATATAAATAAAAATGAAAAATGAAAAGGAGAATGTACGGCTTTTAGAGTAGGCGGGTATCACGTGTTGAAAGGAGCAGTAGACACGGAAATAAGTAGCGGACTGGACGCGTGCTATGGCCGGGGACAACCTTGTCATTCTCTCTCCACGTGGCACTCCCACATTCGTTCTTTCCAACGTCGGTAAACCGTATGCCCCCACTTGCCACTTGTTCAATTTACGCCAGCTTGGCCTCCATTTTCTTACGCTACCAGTCACGTGTCAATTTCTCTAAACTCAATCGTGGGTAGAGTTGTAATTTCAGGTTCTACAGTACAAGCAGATGATGCACGAGGTAAACGGGTGTGGGTTTGTCAGAAGGGTTTCATCCTTATCTCAAATGACATAATTGACCTTATCTCTTGAAATGAAAAGTCAAAAGGCTGTTTTGATGGTCTTTATCCATAAGCTAAAGTTTGGTACTCAAGTAGTGGTTGTAAGATTCCCCTCCTAATCTTTGCAATTAAAGTCAACCATATGTTTATCGATAACCATATTCAATTATTTAATAACCAATAATCTACCGGTTGGAAACAATTTTAACTGATAATAAAGTTTGAGTCTTTAAAGATCTCCTTTAAGAGTTATCATGTCGAATCTTATAAAATCACTGAAGATTTTGTTCTGACTTTGGGATTTATTGAGGGCGTATAAACTGGTCCAAATACCCATTGTTAATAAAAAGACCACCGATTTTGGAATCATACCATTCATCCGAATTTAATATTCGACGTTACAAAACTTGGATTATATATATATATATATAGGGAAGGGTTCAAACGAGAACCCATGTGATTTACGAGAATGCGAAAACAACCCAATAACCACATATTGTGATAAAAAGTAAAATTAAAAGATTTTTAAAACTAAAATTGAAATTTAAAAAGATTCAGAAAATATTAAAATTAAAAGGRTAATAATGGAAATSATATMATAAAATCTTTTAATACGATTACACGATCAT